AAAAAATGTGGTCATTAAAATAGAGAGAAATAGTATTCAAGGCTGTATTTATATTCCAGAGATACTTTGACAAGAATGGCTACTGAGAAACTTCTATGATGATCTTCCTGTATAAAAGTTTCATGGTATTAAAGATTTAGTTTTCCCAGGAGGGCAAAGTACATACTTATAATCTTGGCCAATGATGGTTTTTTAAAAAGCTAATTAAATGAAATTGCTATTAAAACTGGTGATACTAAAGCACATACAAGAAAAGAAAACATAGAATACTTGATAGTGTTTATTAAAAGAGAAACATTGTCGTACTGGGGATTAATAAGGAGCAGTTTAAATAGAAGACTGTTTTAACTAAACACAATGCAGGAAAATTAGAATTCAGTTTTCATAAAATGAACAACATTGTTTTGCATATGAGTGTAATCAAGCAAGCAGATTTGAGTGTAATTAAGCAACCAAGAGGATAGGTTTCCCCTCCCCCCCTTAACAATTCATACAATTTAAGTTACTGGTAAGGAACAAAATTAATATATTAGCTTAATGGTTTTATTTTTTTTAATTAGCCAAAATTTGGCTTCATGAAAAATGGTTATTTATTTTTAAGACTGGCTACATAAAATAATATCTCTTTAGATTGCTGGTAAGACCTAAAACAACATTATTCTATAATAAGATATGCTTTTCCTTACCTTTTTTCAGGGTTAGATTAATGACTTCAATCGTGGTATCACTATCAAAAAGATAGGATATTCAATAATTGAACATTGAACAAATGTATAATTTAGTCAATAAATAGATTAATTCTATAGTTTACATTTTGAGAATTTAAATTCAAAATGAGTAACAGATGCACTAATGAGGACTGAACAAGAATAAAGTAATTTGGATAGAGGCTGTTCAACTATGTGTGCTGTAGAGTTATGTATGAGTGCTGAGAAATGTATAGAATTGCCGAATAACTCTCTTATACACCTGAAACTAATATAACACTGTATCTTAACTATACTGGAGTTAAAATTTTTAAAAAGTTAATAAAAATCTTAAATATAAACAGAACAAAAATATACAATCAGAACTGAAGGCAAAAAAAATGTTAATAGAGGTTATTAGCCTGGAATTAAAATGTTTTTTAACTTCCTAATTTTGGGGGCTTTGGAGAAATTATGTGACTTTACTCTTTCAGATAAGTGTCTTAGGATAATAAAACAATAGCAGCTTATCCTCTGACTAGCTAATATAGCGTTCAAAGGGCATAACAATTCTCTGAATCAAGTCAAAATCAGTAAGACATCTAGGGAATCCAAGATGAAATTATGGGTAACTAAGGAGGCTAAACATAAGGAGAATAAGGGGGCACCTGGGTGGCTCAGTCGGTTGAGTCTGATTTCAGCTCAGGTCATGATCTTGGGATCCTGGGATCGAGCCCTAAGGCAGGCTTCCTGATAGGCGGGAGTCTGCTTGTCCTTCTTCTTCTGCCCTCCCTCCCAGCTCGTGCTCACTCTCTCCGTCCCTCTGTCTCTCTCAAATAAGTAAATAAAAATCCTTATATATAAAAAACACAAGGGGAATAAGTACAGAAACAGTGATACATGAAAATTCCTGGTATAGCTTGGAGGGAAAGGCCAAGCAGGCTCTGCACAAGGTGGTAGAAATACCACCAGGCCATTGGGTAGGCATACACCATTACCTCCCTGGAAGACACACTGACCATTGTCACTGCGGACCACTCCCATGTCTTCATCTTTGGCAGGTACACCCCCCTGGCAACTCTATCTTTGGCCCCCATGGTAAGCAATACAGACAAGAAGTCCTTCACTGCCATCCTGTATGGCAATGGGCCTGGCTCCAAGGTGGTAGGCCATGAGCGAGAGAATGTCTCCATGGTGGACTACGCTCACAGCAATTACCAGGTGTGGTCTCCCTTGCCCGTGTGCCCTGAGACCTATGACAGGGAGGATGTAGCCATCTTTACCAAGGGTCCCATGGCGCACCTGCTGCACGGCATCCAGAGCAGAACTACATTCCTCCACGTGATGGCTTACATGGCCTACATCAGTGCCAACCATGACCATTGTGCCTTGGCCAGCTTAGCAGGCGGTGCGTCCCCAGGCCCCCTGTTTGTTCAGCTAGCCCTGCTCCCCTTGGGCATCCTATTCCGAGGGTCCAGGGCCTGGGCACCCACCAACCTATGGCAGATGGCCAGCCTTCCTCTTTCAGCACTGCCCACAGCCTGGGAGCCCACACCTCAATGGCCAGGTGGGTGGGGGTTTTCATAGTCTCTACAGCTGCCAGAAATAGGAGGACCCAGGAAACCAAAGACAGCTGCCTGCCTCACTCTTCTCTGGAATCTTCCACTGAGGCCAGACCAGTGCCTGGCCTCCAACCTCTGCTCCCTCCCTGCTGTTCTTTTGGCCAACACAGTAGGTTTCTCATGGGTAGGTGGAGAACACAGACTGCAGAAATTCCCAAAGCATCTTATTTTTCTAGCAAACATATTTTCCAGACCTGGAGGCCCTGGAGCTTCCATGGAACATTCCGGATCTAACCTTTCCACTCCCTTCTCCTCTGGAACCACCAGGCCCCACATGCTCATGTCCCTACCTGTAGAGGAGACCAAGTCCTTCTCTGCAGGATGGGGGTTTGCTCCCTCACTCATTCCAAGGCCTTCCAGGCCTCCCATAAAGTGAACTCCTTGGACTGGCCATCCCCAGGGTGGCAGGGGTGGGAAGAGCAGCCTGGAGAGACAGACACTTCCCAGCTCTCAATATGCATGCCCACTCCTCTCTGAAGTGAGACTCCTGTTTGGAAGGGCAAATTTCTTTTTCTCTTTTTGGTGTTGGTTAAAAGGGAACAGAAAACATTTAAATAGAACTTCCCCTGCCAAAAAAAAAAAAAAAACCCTTTCTGAATATTTCTGGCAATAAAAAATAAGAAAATTACAGGTATAATTTGGACATGGGTTTACTTATAGAAACTGGTACACCCTTATTTAGTCCAATATTAAGAGATTACTGATATGAGCACTTGGAAAGCATGGGCCCAGAGAGAGAAGCAAACTCAACGACATACATGCATCTAGAGGGTGTTATTCTAAGCAAAATACGTCAGTCAGAGAAAGATAAATACCATGTAATTTCACTCATATGTGGAATTGAAGAAACAAAACCAA